TTAAAATCAGTATTTAAAAAAAGCAAATCACAACATCTTAAATATTATCTAGTTAAATTTTATAAAAATATTTATTAAGCTATTTTTTTTTTTTAAAGCTTTTTTCTGTTCAGCAGCAGCAGATAGTTTTGGGAAAGTCTCAATTTTTTAATTGTTTTTTTTTTTTTTAATTTTTAGCGGGTTTGACAAGAATCGTCCATCAGTTTTGGCTATAACATGACATGTAGGTTATATGTAGTGGCCACGCTATATCAAATTGAAAAAGTTTAGGTTATATTTCCTAATTTATAGGAGATATGCATATATAATTATATAAAGAAACTCCTTTTTCAAAATTCAAGTTAATTGGTCATATTTTGGAACTAATATTATTTTGTTTATAATGTTTATAAACTTTATGATGTACGTATGTGTAATTTTTGTATTTTATTTATTTAATATTATTTGATCCTTTTTTATTTTTAAATGGTCTTCAAATGGGGAAGAAAAAATCATAGTAAAGCTTTTCTTTTCTGTAACCTAGATTGCCTAATGGCTTTGCTATCGAACATCCAAGCTATGGGCCTTAATTGTTAATTAATTAATGTATTTAATAAAATATGAAATGTCAGCTAAAGTCAGGGATCTAAATAACATGGATTATCCTGATGTTAAGCAGAATTTCCTGTGTTGCCCAACTGACGTTTACTTTGAACTTACTTGGCGGATGCCTGCACCAGATTCCAGTCATAACCCTCCAGCACCTTCATCACCGCGCTGGTGATGCGCTCGTCCTCCTTGCGACCACCTTGGCCGGCGGCACGCTTTTGCTCCGCCTTCAGTGCATAGTTGGCCAGCACCAGGGTCTCCACGGGCTTGGCGCGATCCGCATTTGAATTGGCGCTCATAGTTTTTGTTTGGGCAGACAACTGCCTGACCGACGGCTGTTCGTCTCAAAACTCAGTCAAAGTCAGATAGAGTTGCGGCTTGAGATACAGTTTCAGTTCGAGATACAGATGCATATACTGATACAGATACACGAGCACTGAGGAACACTGAAAACACCCACACAGCTGGCGAGGCGACGCGACGCGGCAGACAAGCAAACTGCGACTGATCTGCGCCTGCCACCGGCGGCTGGCACTCGGCTCGGCTTGTCGGCGACGGGCGATCGGGTGAGATAAGCTCAAGACGCCGTTGGTTGGACGCTGCTCGGCTCGGGTCGTCTGCCTGTCCAACTGTCCCTCTGTCTGCTCCGTCTCGAACTGGAGCTGACGATCCGCGGCGGGGGCGCGCACATAAAAATCGCGGTACGCGTGTAAACATTAACATGTTCATGTGAAATTAGTTGGCCCTAGCAACGATCCTAAAGGGGGCCAAAGGGGACGATCGAGTGACAGTTGAAAGAAGCAAGAGAAAGAAATAAGCAGAAAGAGAGAGAGAGAGAGAGTCAGAGAGAGGGGGGAAGGGAGCGCAAACGCGAGTGTGGGGCAGAGAAAATACTTATACAGCAACAGAAACAGAACCGAACAGAAATTAGTACGCACTTTACAACCACATGTGGATTTATGACACCTCGACGGAGCGGGGGCGACATCTGAAGTTGAAGAACTGTATGGCCACTTGTTGCAGCTGTATTTGATGGGCCAGCGATAAGATTCCCGAAGGCGCTGTCAAGGTGCTTGTTAAAGGATCGACTGAAGGGATAAAGTGTGCTAGAAAGGGGCAAAGACGGGTAGCTAATGTGCTGTCATCCCTTGAAGGGTATTTAGGATATGTTTAGTAAAAAAATAATTAAGTTATGAGTTTTGGTTTACATCAATTTAACAGTCAATCTGTTCGTCAATCAGTCAGTCCATGAGTCAGTCAATCAAATGCTCAATAAGCTAGTCAGAAAGCTAGCTAATCAGAAAGTCAAGCTTTGAGTCGATCAGTCAGTCAAGCAGTCTACGCATTGGCCAAGCAGCCAGTTAGTAATTAGGTTAGTCAATTAGTCAGTCAGTCAATTAGTGAATCTATGAGACAGTCAATCAGTCAGTCGATCAGTAAGTCCATCAATCTATCGATCAATCAGATCGTTAGTTAATCAAACAGTCAATCAGTCAGTGAATCAGTCCGTCAATTAAATCATCAATTAGTTAGTCAAGCCGCGAGTCAGTCAAGCAGTTCGCCAATAAGTCAATCAATCAGCCAATCGATCGGCCTATCAATCAGTCTGGTAGGCATTTAGGACAAGTTTTAATACGCGTGCGCAAATTAAAATATGTCATGACTATAAAAAAGATACAAAGTTATTAGATCAAAACTCAACTCGCGCTAGTTAAGCATGTTTTTTATGGGCGTTTAAAGATTGACAGAGTTTAGCATTTTTTGGCATCAGAATTGGCAGATGATAATAGCTTTAGGCCAAGTTATTACACTGCACGCATTCTTCAATAATATTCGTTGGCTCATCTAGTTTTCAAACATATATCGAAGACTCGACCATAGAATACGAGATCATAAAAAACGCCAAAAATTTCAACGTGAGGAATAGCTGTGTCGAAACTAGACGCTATTCATTTCATGGCCATAAAAAGAATCGATGCGTATTTATGTTGGGCTTTTATTTATTATTGTGTTTTTTTTTCTAATTCTCCTGTTTTTTAGCTGGTTTCAACTGGATGCGACTTTTACTCGGCATTTCTTCAACCCAGGGCTTGTTGGTTTTTTTTACAACTTTATAATTTTTACAACTCAATTAACTTTTTTTACTCAAACGCCGCCGGCGAACAAATAAAAAATACCGAAAAAAAGAACGCCGAAATGACCAAAAATTTAAACAATAAAACACGAAAATGCATAAACGAAATCATAAATACCTACTAGATACGATCGAGAGGCAGCCAAAGGCGATCCAAGACGCTTGCCAGATGAGCGTTTTATGCGATAAAAAACAAATAACAAAAATACAAAATAAAAACAAAACTGAAGTGTCATAAAAGGCATCAAAATGGAAATAATACTCGATGAACCCCCCTCCCCAGCCACCCCCCCCCCTCGCATTTCACAGCGCTGAGGAAAATTGAATCGTGTCTAGCAGCTTAAAGGCCGCAGCTAACAAGTGGCCCCCAACCTCAAGCCCGCTGCCACGCCCCTCGCGACAGAAAAATTTTTCTCGCCGGCAAACTTCAAAAGCCGCCGACTTTGTTGATAAACAAAACGCGCACTGCAAAAATATGCAAAAAAAAAAAAATTTAAAACTGAAAATGAAATAAAAAATCGAATTAATTAAAATTTATTTTTTGCGTATTATAGAAAAGCCAAAAGGCGAAATGGAAATTGTTTTTTGCTGATTTTGTCAACGTCTTCTTCTTTATCTTCGGCGCTGCCTTTTTTAATCAAACTGGAGCAGCGCCGAAAGGTCGCGGAAAAATGCAGCAGAGCCAGTGGCAGTAGCAGCAGCGGCAGCCGCAGCAGCAACAGCGGATGCGACGACCGCTTGACAATTTTGCGACTTGGCATGAAATCAAATTATTTGATCTAAGCCGCCGCCAGGGGGCTTGATAGGGGGGAGGGGCAGCATAAGCCGCTGCTTTGCGACTAAACGAAACCAAATGGTGCGTTCGCTGAATGGCGACGGCGACGTCGCAGACGCTGACGCTGACGTTTGCTGCGCCAATGTTAGAAATTGCACCCCAGCAGCCCTCTTCTCTTAAGCGCACTCTCCCTCTCTCGCTCTGCCCCGCACAGCTTGCCGACAGCCGCGCGACATGTGTTGCGGAAATATTTTGCGATCGACGCGTCAGGAAATACTTTGCCCTAATGCACCCATCTCGCTCTGGCACACAACTCATTTGCATGCGAACAACAGGCAAGGCAAACAAAAACAAAAAGCGCAAAGCAATAACAAAACGTTCGACGCTCCGGCATTTTGTTTTATTATTTCACACCTGATGCGCGTTCGTGTTTTGCCGTTCGTTTGACCATCGGCTCAAACTCGGGCTGCCATTCGCCAGATCGCTAATTGCCTCTTCGTATGCTTGTGTGTGTGTGTAATGTAACAATATGAGCGTGTGCGCCTGTGTTCTAGTATGTGTGTGTGTGTGTGTGTGTGTGTGTAATTTAGCGTAGATCGCAACCGCTTTTTGTTTTGCTTTGTTTTCCTCAACCAATCGACAGAGGCGGGGCGTGTGTTCCGTTTATTAAATATTTATATAAGATATAGGCTGAACCTTTTGCATATATAACAGATATTAAAGATATTTAAAAACCTTATAATGGACTAGCGTTTATTGAAAATTATCATATATTTTAAATAATAATTATTAATTAATAAACTTTTCTAATATTTATATTTGAATGCATTACATTATTTGTATATATAAATACTTATAGCACAATTTAAGTCGTGTGTGTGTACACCTTTTTGCCTGTGCTACACTTAATATTGTGTACGTATATCTGAACGTACGTATCTATGTCTGAAAATACGTATATCAGTTGGTCGTGCATGCGTTTAGATGTTTTCATTACATCTGGTGTGTGTCTTAGCTAATGTTAGCACTCTGAAACTGACTGCTACGAAAGTAAACAAATATATAAAACGTCGACATTTTCGACCAACCGCCACATTTTACCGACCAGGGACGACAAATTTTCCATGCTTCACAATTTCCACGATTTCAAGCCAATAAAGTTAGCAAAATGCTCGTTCATGCTTCCTATGCCAGCGTTTAAAACTCTCAATTCTGGCAGTTATTATTTACATGCATGGCGACTTTGACTAAGCTAAGGGCCTACTGATAACGGTGCATTAATAAGCCGTTAGATTTTGAGGTCCATCGTGTTTAGATTTTTCGTGGTTGTTTTTCATTATAAAAGCTGGCTTTTAATAAATTACATATCACCCAACAATATTAGTTTCCTAAAAGATATATTTAAAAACAAACACGCATTTATCAATATCGTGACAAAATGGCTCACGGTTTGATTCAGTGGCGGCGAACCAATAGTTCCGCAACTGTTCAAATGGTTCTTAAATGGAACTTCTCGCTGAGTCTGTTGTTGGTGTTGTTGCCGTTCCCAAGATTTATTCTAGCAAATAATTTATAAAAGAAATTCAATCATTAATTTAAAATTGCAAAGAAATACAATAAAAAGAAACGCAAAATGTAAGTTGGTGTTGGATTTGTACAAATATGCAACGTGCGCGTGAAATTTGTGAAAATTGTGCGTAACAAAAAGCCAAAGAGACTACTTCGGCCACAGTGCCCCTAGTGGTGGCTACTTTTTTCGTCTCGCTTTATGTGTGCTTCGTTGTCGTATACGTATAGACTTGTTGGCATGCTTGTGTTAGTGTGAAAACGCTAAAACAGTCAGGCTAGCAACGTGCTCGCTGTAGAGCCAACAATAGTGCAAGCGAGACAACCCTATTGCAGCATGCATACGTGCGTCCGTGTGTGTGTATGAGTGCCAGGGCAAACGACTCGCTTGTATTTTTTCGTGTGTCGCCGTCGTCGTCTCCGTTAAAGTTTTTTTTTGCCTCAACGCAATCTTAATAAGTTTTTAAACATATTGTGTTTGTTTTAAACGGTTCTCATTGTTGTTAATGCAAAACATTTGCCCAAAGCCAGCGCGCTGCTAGTATCTAAAGCGCCAGACGTGCGTGCCCGTACAATCAAACAAAGCGCGGCTGAGAAAAAAAAAAATTAAAAAGGAAACAAAAAATCATTAAACAATACATAATTGCAAAAAAAAATTGCCAAACGGCCACTATGGCCCTGGCTTAAGCGTTTAAGAAATGCATAAAACGAATTGTGTCCGATATTGCATAAATGTGAGTGTATGTGTGTGTCTCTCTCAAAAACAAAAACAAAGAAAGTTGAAATGATTTTGCTGCCTTGTTTCCACTTATCATGACGTCGTCGTCGTCTCGAGTGTTGTTGTTGTTGCTCTTGTGAAATTGAAATCCAATTAAACGCAGTGCATTTTCAGCTGGAAATTTAAGCAAAAGTCAAGTGCAAGCAGCAGCAGCAGCGGAGCAGTCTGGCCACACTGTGACTCCCAAATCCGCCAAGGTAGGAATCAAAAATAACTTCTCACCTCTCTCACTCGCACACAGACAGACTAGAGCCAGACAGTTAGCCGTTAGATTAGTTCGGGTTGAAAAAAAAATATATATACAAAAACAAAACGTATGCAGTTTAACGTTAGGTCGTCTCGTCCTCGGCAGCGAGGCCATTGACTGCACCAGCGGAGTCAACGTTGTCGCTGCCTTTAAAATTAATTGCATAGATCGTTTTATTAGCCATGCTTCTTTTTTTTTTTGTATCGCTGCTGACGCTTATTGGGCTGCTGTTTATACAACTGTTTGTACTTGCTACTTCTTCTTCCCTACGTAACCGTTGGTTGTTGCCTTTGTGGTGGCGCTTGTATTTTGCGGAAGTCTTATTTGGCGCCCGCCAACGCAACGTGCCGCTGATTTGCAATTGTAATAAGGCCCCAGCAAATTAACATAGTATACTTATATACATACAAATATCCATACATACACTTGTATGGCATGTCTGCCGGAACTAGCAGCAAGAACAACAATAAGAAGCCGTCACACTGCACTCCCACCACGATCAGCTGTTGCTCTCACAAGCACACACATCCCAACAAACACCCACACATATACACACTTAGAGAGAGTGAGAGCCTGCGACCATCTCACTTGCGCACCTGTCAAACGCAGGCAGCAACAAAACTAGAACGTGCATTTAAAAAGGCAACAAAAAAGAACGGTAAACGTTACTTTTTTTTTTTTTTTGGTAAACGAAACTGACGACAGCGACATGCGCGGAGTGCTAATAAATCAGCGTAGGCAAAGAAAGCAAACAACTATTACAAGCATATGTATGTGTATTTATGTGTATGTATGTGTGTGTGTGTGTGTGTGTGTGTGTGTGTGTGTGTAGGTGTGCATTTATAAAGCTTGACCAGTTTTGAGGTTAGAATTGGCCCAGCTTCACAGGTCAAATACATACACAAACACACACTCATACGTATAGATAAAATCTTGTTGTTGTAGGTGCGTGTTGGACAACATCAAAAGAAAGCGCAGAAAATAGTGAGAGAAGCAGACAGAATGTAGATAACTGCAAGGCAAGACGGCAGCAGCTATTATAATAGGCACAATAATAATTGTCTACTATTTGAAGAAAGCAAAACTAACAACGAAACAAAATTTTGTCATTTATTTTGTTAGCGAGCTAGAGAAAATTTCAGTTCCACTGTTGCTGTGCGCCTTTTGCCCAACTGCTTATGATTTGTCTGTTTGCTGGGGCGCGACTCCATTTTTAATGTGCATGTGTGTGTGAGTGCTTTTCACCATTGAAAGTGTCATTTAAATGGCATTTTTGTCTGTTTGTTGCTTCTTTTCTACCTACTGTTCATCTCTAATTGTTTACCTACACACACACACACGGACACACGGTTGTCTTTATGGTATCTGGCTGACAGCAGGTTATTGTTAGGGTTTTCTTTCCTTCTCTTTTTAACCGCCTTGCAACTTTTGCGCTGATTCATCGCTTAATGTTAATGCTGTCATGTGCGATGCGCTGTGTTTGTTATTTTTAGATACGTATTTACGCAGAATTGGCGCCGTAGAAATCCCGCTGATAAGACGTCAGGACGTGCAAGTCGCTGTGCAGTTCTGTGTTCACATAGAGAATATTTGTTTTTTATTGATTTTAAGCTATTAATAGTAAAGCACCTGTCAAATTCAGTCAATAACTCAAAATCTGCAAAAGATATACCGAATTTCGTGATTTACCCACCCCGTGTGTGACGTCAATAAAATAATATCAATATCTGAGAAGGGAATACATGAGTATATATTCTAACTTTCAAACCTCACACGGCAGACGCACATCAAGCAAATCCAATATACTTACTTACACTATGTGAACAGTGTACTACAGTCTTTGATTTTGGTTATACTGTTATACGCGGGGGTGCCACAATGTGAAGTTCTGCTTGCGCTGAAAGCTGCAGTGCTTTGCATATACAGTTATCTTTGTGTTTGTGTTGTGAGACGTGAGTGACGCTCAGTTTGGTTTTGTGTTCTTATCTAATTGAAACATCGCACGTCGCCAGCTCACGCCGCCTGCTATCAGCGTTTTCTTTTATATTTTGTTTTGCATTTTGTTGTGATATTTACAGCTGCAGCTGAATCGATAGCTGTCACATATTTATCGATGACAACAAAACTGCTCACATATTTTCATGTAGCGCAAAAAAAAACCAAAACAAATAATTTGTAAATATATTTTGGAAATATATTTATTTTATATGTAGGTTCTTGCGTGTGATTGTCACTTTTATTTACCGCTATAGCTAACTGTAATAACAAGAACAAGATCGAAATGCTTATAAGAACTTTCTTCAATTGCAGCAGCCGCAGCGCCCGCGACTTGCACGAAACGCCGACAACGCCTGAGCGCGCGCCTTAAATACGAAAAACAAAACACAACAGAGATAAGAGAGAAGAACCAGCAGCAGCAGCAACGAGAGCGCAAGTTTTTTTTGCAAACGGACAAAAGGACAGCGCAAGGTTTTTATATAAATATATTATATAAGTATTGCTCATTAGATATCATAAATGAGTGAATTTCCAATGTGAAATTTTGTATTAAACTAATTTTCTTTTACACAGGCAACGTTGTGCGACGCCACACGCACAGGCAAACATATTCACACACACATACATTTGTATACATATATATAAGGACAGACAAATATGGAACTGCGCGTTGGGAACAAATATCGCCTGGGCCGCAAAATTGGCTCCGGCTCATTCGGCGACATCTATTTGGGCACAACAATCAACACGGGCGAGGAGGTGGCCATCAAACTGGAATGCATACGCACCAAACATCCACAGCTGCACATCGAATCGAAATTTTATAAGACAATGCAGGGCGGCATTGGTATACCCCGCATCATTTGGTGCGGCAGCGAGGGTGATTACAATGTGATGGTCATGGAGCTGCTTGGACCATCGCTGGAGGATTTGTTCAATTTCTGTTCGCGCCGCTTCTCATTGAAAACCGTGCTGCTGCTGGCGGATCAAATGATATCGCGCATTGATTATATACACTCGCGCGATTTCATACATCGCGACATCAAGCCGGATAACTTCCTGATGGGTCTGGGCAAGAAGGGCAATCTGGTGTACATAATTGACTTTGGCTTGGCCAAAAAGTTCCGGGATGCACGCTCCTTGAAGCACATAGCATATCGGGAAAACAAGAATCTGACAGGCACCGCACGCTACGCCTCGATCAACACACATCTGGGCATTGAGCAGTCGCGACGTGACGATCTGGAATCGCTTGGGTACGTGCTCATGTACTTCAACTTGGGCGCTCTGCCCTGGCAGGGACTGAAGGCGGCCAATAAGAGACAGAAATACGAGCGCATATCCGAGAAGAAACTATCCACATCGATTGTTGTTCTCTGCAAGGGCTTCCCCAGCGAATTTGTCAATTATCTGAACTTCTGCCGACAAATGCACTTTGACCAGCGCCCCGATTACTGCCATTTGCGTAAATTGTTCCGCAATCTGTTCCATCGCCTGGGCTTCACCTATGACTATGTGTTCGACTGGAATTTGCTCAAGTTTGGCGGACCGCGCAATCCGCAGGCCATCCAGCAGGCGCAGGATGGCACCGATGGCCAAGGCCAGGGCCAGGATGCCGCTGCGGCAGCAGCAGCCGCCGCCGCCGCCACCCATCAGCAGCAACAGCACAAGGTTAACACTGCAATGGCCACTGCCGGTGGCAGCACACAACAGATGTTAAGCAGCAATTCGGCTGCTGGACAAACGCTCGCCATGCTCGGCGGCGGCGGTATCGTCGGCGGCGGCGGCGGCAATGGTGGAGCTGGTGCGCAGCTAATTGGCAACGGGGGACTCAATATGGATGACTCAATGGCCGCCACAAATTCATCGCGACAGCCCTACGATACGCCCGAGCGACGTCCATCGATACGGATGCGACAGGGCGGCGGCCTGCAGGCTGGCGGTGTTGTGGGTGATGTACGAAATGCTAAATAATATTTTATTGTTTAGAATGTTGTGCGACGATGCGAATTAAGCGCTGGACATACACACACACACACGTACATACAGCAGATGCAGCCACACATGCACACTTAGTATATTTTGCTCTATATATATATATATATATATATATATATATATATATATATATATTTATGTATATATAATATATATATATACATTTGATGTACGCATACATAACATGTTATATGTATAGAACAGTCAGCGACCTGGTCGCTGGCAACATGTTGCAGTAACACACACCCACACACAAACATACCCAAGCACACACACACAAGCAACGAGAAGCAAACAGCTGCGCTTTCCTTTTGTATATTTTTGTTTGTTTTTATTATTTTTTTGCTTTCTTAAATATTTGCGTTTTGCTTTGATGCTTTTGCTAATGATGATGATGATGATGATGATTATTATGTTGATGAATCACATGGCAAAGCTTAAGATTAACATATGCTAAGTTTAACTTATAATTTTAGTTGATAAACAATTGCAAGTCGGCCGCAAAAAAGCGAAAGTATGCACTACATTTAACGCAAGCAACAGCTCCAACTGCAAGATACCGTTATTCGTAAACTGTAAAAGCAAAGAGACAGGATGATAAAAATGATATGACTACAGAGAAAGAGAGAGTGACAGAGAGGGGGCGAGAGAGCAAGCAAGAGTGATTCTTTGAGAAGATAACAATAAGAAATAGCACACTCACACACATGCAGCTATGCACTCGCACGCACGAACACACACTCACTCACTGCCTCTCTCATCCACTCGATAGCTAGTTCTGTGTGTTTGCATTTACACTGCTGAACAGGAACAGGATAAACAAAATATTTGGTTACATGCATTTTTTTTGTTTAATTTTGTGCTCTGTGCAAACTATAAAAAAAACTAACAGCAACATAAGCAACAACAACAACAACAAATGAGAAACTTATCACAACCGACTCAACTGAACAAAGGGCATACAATTTATATTAAATGAAGGGGCATATAATCTAATATTTAAATATTAAAACATATTTTGAATATAAGTTGTAAGCTTGAGAGTGTAAAGGAAACAAACAAAGGACACAATATGCGCCAGTGTCCCTAACTTTTAGTCTAGAAACTTAGCATTAATAAAAAAAAAATATATATATATACATATATATATAAAATACAACAAATGCATATAACTAACAATTCATAAAACAACAAAAAAAATAAGCAAAAACAAAAATGATAAGCAGAAATTAACGCGTTTTGTGCACCAACCAATAACATTTTTAAATTTAAGTGTACAATTCATAATGAAAACATTTTGAAAGCAGCGTAGCAAGTACATCCCCCTTTCCCCTGTTCCGAACCCACGTAGCTTTAAGCAACTCTCTAATTTGTAAAGCCTCGATGTTAAACAACAGGAATTCATAATCTATAAATCAATATTTTTTCTTTCGTTTATCATCCACGATAATATATGTATGTGTTCAATATTATTTGCGAGCTCTGTTTCAGCGTATTTCTCAACAATATAACTAAAAGAAAAAGAAAAAAACAAAATACAAAAACTAAAATCATGTAACTAATAACTTAATACAAATTATAATTATATACACACACACTATATACAAATATGTACTTTGCATTATATATATTTTCAATTAGTTTGTAAAGTCGTTAAGGGGCGTGAGCTGCGAGCACGCATTAAAATTATAACGCTAGCTAATAAATTGTAGCTATAATATGAAATTTGTTTATAAGTAATACCAAAACAATAAAACAAAATAAAAACAAATAAGTAAACAAGAAAAATATCGACAATTCTAATTCTGCGCAAGTCAAGATTTTGAATTATGAATATTAATGCAAGGAATAAGAACGTGCAACAACTAAAAACAAAAACAAACAAACAAAAGTTTATCTTATGAAACGCATATGAAACACGTAAAAATTATATATAAAAAAAAAACAAAACAAATCTTATGTTAAACTTTACACAACGCGCCGATATGCCGTTTATATAGCAGTAAAGAGATCATAAATAAATGATTATATAAAATACGATATATGTTTAAAGGCAGGCGAATAAAAGTAAAAAGTAACATCCGAAAGTTAAATAAAAAATGCATTACGTGATATTTCTTGCAATTTGTTTCATTTGTTTTCTTTTGTTCATACTTTCATTTTGAGATACTTTTCATTTGCTTCTGTTTCAATTGGATCTCGAGTTTTCGAGATTATCGCCGAGGACCTCTTTCGACTGCGAGTACTTTTAGTTGACTCCCGAAACGCACGCCTTGTAACTTGACCAAAAACAAAACGAAAAATGAAAAAAAAAAGGAAATAAAGATTACTTCTCATATAACACGATTACACAACTTAGGAACTGAACAGTCCCCTAGATAGAGTCTAATCCGCTGCTGAACCGTCGAACTAGTTCGCAAATGCAAATTAACTGAGTGTACATATGAAATTATTCGAATAACAAATAACCTTGTGTGATTTTCCTTCTAACTAGCGATTTATTAACAAACTAACTAACATGATAATTAAACTATGAAATGAGAACAAAACTATATATATTAAATACGCTAACTGTATGACAAGTCCATACGCCATAAGGAAACAAAATATATAGAACTCGTAACAAATTATAACGAAAAGTAACAAAAATTTTGAACATTTTGTAAAATTTAATGTATTTGTATATTGAGAATAGAATTTTTGATCTAATTATTAGCACGAAAAATCGAATATGTTACATAAACCTTATGTATATGCGATAACATTGAATATTAACAAACCACCAACAGTGATATGAGATACAAAAAACCCAAGATAAAGTTCATAATAATACATTAATTAAACAAAAGTATGTAAAAGATAATGTCATAAATAGGATATCGTCAAACTGAACGCGCAAGTCACATAAACGTGAACAATAAAAAAAACTATGAAAAACAACTAGAACAGCAACAAATTTCCATAATTATTATAGATGTATATTATTACAACAATTATTATTGAAAATGTCAAAGCTAGAATTTTCAGCAGCAAATTTTAAAAAGAAGCAGTAACAAAATTAGGTACATATATCAAAGGAACTATGATATCAAAGGAACTATGATATATGTATGCGCGCATATCTAGTATTTCATTAGCCAAAACATACACAACACACAGTTCGATAGAATTTTAACACATTTGAACAAAGAACTCATAAAATATTATAAAATTAATAATAACACTGCGAAATTAGAAGCGAAAAGGGTAAATGAATAAATAATTAATAAGTAATCCGTAAAATTAACGAATTGCAACAACATTAGATACACTAAACGGAGCGAATGTCATTTAATCATAATTGTATGTAATAAATTGTCGACAAAAAAAAACAAAACAAGAAAAATGCTAAAATGAATAAACTATGATTTTGAAAACATAACTGGAATTTTATTTTAATTGCGTGGCTAGCTTATATTTAGTTCACCCAAATATATCAATTCCAATGGGCAACGCTGCTCATTAAGCCACAGTTCCTGAAAAGGTTCACGGAACCAAAAACAGTCACAGTGTAGTTGATATTCATAACAGTTTCTCTTATAATATTTATGCTTTTGTTAAGATCTAATGTCACGTTGCCGAAATAACGGAAATACACATTTAAATGTGGCCAACCACTATGCTCACAGTGACAGCGACTGATACATTGAATGTATTCGATATTTTTTTCGAATAGGTATTCAAGTGCATAGTGTACTTAACATGAGATAAGCAGTTTAGTGTACTTACATTTTAAATAAACAATATCATTAAAATACTATTTTATTCATATTATTCAAAGATTGATTTAAAATAAATATGTAGGCAAACTTGTTACTCGTTATTAGCGACAGTTGCATAAACACCGCGCATCTCTAGATATGCAATTGGCCTATATCGCCCATCTCAATTGTCACTCATCGCTCTCTAACGCTCATCTCTAGTAGCCCAGCACAAGTTTGCAAACGAAAAGGTAAATTTCATAAAATTGCATTCAAGTTAAATGAATAAGCGATTGCTATATATATTAACAAAAGCACACGTTCTTAACATTACCCGCCGTCACGCAGGCTACGTCACTTAAGAGAGAGGTTCCTATCAGCTGAAACAACATGGGCGCAAAACAGTCGCGAGAGCCACGTTCCGTTTCAATGGAAAATCCAACTCCTGCCGGCGTCCTCGACATATCCGACGATGTGGTGAAGCGTCTGAAGCAGGGTATCACACAGCAGGGTACAGTATACAGAGTGACAATCAATTGCAATTGCGCTGCCAAAGATGAGAAATCGCCGCGGCCAAGTGTTATGCAACAATTGTCAAATGACCATTTATTTATATACAAATTAAATATGTAAATTTACAAAAATTCCTTACGGCTTGTAGCTCGCGAAAATGCAGCCGCTGCGGAGCTGTCAAAGCCAGCGCCAAAACCACAAGAGCCGGCCAAAAAAGCGCCCGTAAAAGACGCCTCCCCGCCATCAACGGTTCTCTACCAGAGCGCCACGCCCATTTATGTGCAGGGCGGCGGACACACAATCAGCGCCGCCGATGTGCAGCGGCAAATGAATCAGGAGCTGGTGAAGAACGATGAGCTGTGGCGACAGCGCTTGACTAAGCTGGAGGAGAATCTAAAAAAGACGAATACCATCATGGAATCGGAGTATGCGAATGCTGTGGAGGGTGTACACAAGCGTTTCGTGAGCACCGCAGCGGCGCACAAAACGCCACCATGCCAGGACCTAAAGGCACAGCTGCTTGCCTGCTATCGTGCCCATCCCGGCGAGACACTCAAGTGCATTGAAGAAGTAGCCCAGTTCAAGCAGTGCGTCGATTTGCATCGTATCAAGAAACTGGATAGCGAACCCGAAGCGCCCAAGGCGCCAGCTGCCGGCAAGGCGGCCGTGCCGGTTAAAGCTGGTTAAAGGACCCGTTTGCCTTGTTTAAAATTGTTTCCTTCTTGTTTGGTTGCTCCTGCGCCTACCACAAAAAGCCTTCAAACGATCTGTTTAAACGAGGGAGCATTCTATTACACGCGAGGTGTCATTGTAAACAATAGTAAATTAATTTAATATATAACGAAGTTGCATTTGTTACTTGCTTATCCGCATATCATGAATTCTGCAACGATTTCAAACGAAGTATAAACTATATAGATGTATACGTGATCAGGACAAACTGGTAAGTGGGTATAGTCATGTCTGTGAACGTCTGTGTGATATTGGCGTAAATTTTTACCTATTGAGATCCTTTCTGAATACACATAGTCGGTATCATTCAGATTGGAATATTAACTCATAAAATGAATACTGATTATATTTCATAAAAACTATTCAAGATAATTTGGTGAATTTAATTAGAAACATGTTTCCATCAGACCTATATACAATAATTTTGTTTCATGACTGATTGAGTGAATTATTAACTGACTGACTGATTAAGTAGCTGATGGACTGGCTAATTGACTGAGTGATAAACTATCTGATTGACTGATTAGCTGACTGACTGACTGATTGAGTAAACGACTGACTCACTAACTGATTGAAATTATCTGACTGTCTGATCGATTGACTAACTGATTGGTGATCAAAGCACGGCCCAAATCACAAAATCTGGGAAGCTGACAATGTTCAGGTTAGTTATATATTGTGATGTATGGGAGGTAAGTGTTTGGAATGGGATTTTTTGAAGCATTTTGTTGTTTAGGATTTAAACTAGATTTCATAACATTTGTGTAAATTCATTAAAGATTCATGCAGGGAATATTTAATGTTAGAGCGAACATCTCTCAAGCTAATTTTAAAGCTAAAAGCATATTTCTTAGGGAAAAGTCGGTTAATACCGGCTAGAAAAAATATGCTTCCTCTGTGAAGGCCGTTGGCCATGTATTAATGTTCAACATTTATCAAATGTGTATTAAATGTGGCAGGGGTTTCAAGAACTACAGTAGAGGCACCGTCATTACAGGATAACTTTTAGTCGATCACCACCAGTTCGAGTATTTTAACGTGTCCTTTTCGGTAATTGAGTATACTGTGTTTTTTATTTAACTAATTTACTTTAATCGCTTCTGCTTATATATTAATCAAGTTAACTACAAAACCGTAAATACTATATGGTACAACAAACACACACATTAACAAAGTTCGCATGTGTGCAAATACACATACAGTTACGTGTATGCATATGCATATGTAAGGAATACGTAAAGAATTAAAGCAGATGCGCGATCAGCCAAGCGGCCAATAGCGGAAGCAGCGAGAGTCTCAGGGCGGCGGCGCTGCTTTCGGCCTTGTTGTCGCCAGCTGTCGACAGATGGCGCTTGCAGGAGTCATCAAAATTTTTGGCGGGACCAATGCAGCCGGCATAGCTCATAACGTAGGCCAAATAGTTTTGCTCGAAGACACCGCGTACCAGACTGGAGCCGGGGCCGCTGGCAAAGACAATCACATCCTCGCCGCCATGCGTCTCATCCTTGAGCGCCAGCGTGGCCATGTGGCGATAGGTGGGGGATTCGGTCTGCTCCTTGGTGTACAGCTTGAGTGGCATCCACACATTGGAGCTGTTTGCCGGCTTTGTTTCATTCGCCAAATGGTCGAAGTAGCCGGGTCCATTGGCATACGTTATGGTCTCATATACCATGGGATCCTTGGGCTTGTGTGAATTGGCGGCGCCCAAAATATCGGCGCCGCGTTCCGGATAACCATTGAATGTCACCGAATGCGAATGATCCGCTGTGACCAGAATGAGCGTCTCCTCCGAATCGGTCACCTTCAGAGCGGCCTGCACGGCCAGATCCAGTTCGTAGACCTCGTGCAAGGCGGCACGTGCATAATTCTGATGATGACCCTGATCAATGCGTCCGCCCTCTACGAGAAGCACATAGCCCGGCGACTTTTTGCCACGCTCCAGCACCCCGATGGCCGTCTCGGTCATCTCCTGCAGCGACGGTTCGCCCTGTTCGCGTGCTATGGAGTAGGTGATGTGATTGTTCCGAAACAGACCCATCAAATGATCCACCTCCTCCACATCCACCTTCAGCAGCTGCTCACGTGTGTACACCAGCGCTGCGTCAGCGCTGTCGTTGGCATGCCGCTGCAGCCACTCCTTGGCCAGATTGCGTTCATCGCTACGCTTGCAGATGGTCTCGGTGCCGCCCTCGAATCGGACGGTCTGCACCTCGCTCTCGTTGAAAGCGCCCATGGGCGATAGGCCACCACCCAGCACCACGTTCAGCTTGTTGCCCGGCGCATTCTCGACCAGCTGGCGTGCAATGTCCGCATGTATGCCAATGGACTCCTGTGGCACCTCCGAGTCGCACTCCCAATCCCGATGATAGACACGCGCAAAGGTGGCCGCGGGCGTGGCGTGTGTAATGCGTGTGGTGGTCACCACGCCGGTGCGTTTGCCCTCACGCTGTGCCCAGTCCATGATGGAGTCGAGTCGACCCTGGCTGTCGTTCAGCTTGGAGCGCGTGGTGTCCATGCCAATGGCGCCATAGTCGCTCTTGACGCCCGTGAATATAGCTGTAGCTGTGCCCGCCGAGTCCGGCACCTGTTTATCCACATTGTAGGTCTGTCAAGGGGTAGGAGATTGATTTAATCTATGATTGACAGACTGACTGAGATACTGATTGATTGGCCACTGATTGACTGACCTATTGACTAACTGATTGACTGCTTATATGGCCAGCAGATTGATGGAGTTCCGACTTTTCTGACAGACTAATTGATTTACTAATTGATTGATTGACTTTCTTATAAACTTCCCATTAACTTTGCAATTGTCAGATTAGAATGATTGATTCTTTCTTTGAAATGACACACTGTATATTACTAGACTAGTTGGCTAATTGACTGACTAATTGATTGATTTTGTGACAGACTGATTGATTGATGATCAAATAACAGATTGATTTACTTACTCCTTAACTGATGTACTGGTTGACTGCCGGTCAGCTGGTTGACAATTGACTATCTTATTGACTGGCCGGCTGACTGATTGCTTGACAGTTTAACAGACTGATTGTTTGATTAATTGACTTACTGTTTAACTGTCAAAAGACAGACTATATTGATTGACTGATTGATTTTTTGACTTATTGACTAAATGTCTAATTGATTGAATAACAAATCGAAGACTGTTAAATCTTGAACATTTTCAATATATGTGAAAGTTTGGCGGAAAATAATTGAACCGAAAGTTTTTTAATTTGCCTTTCGAAAGCGAAATAATAATTGCTAATCTATATGATCTATGATAATCTATGATCATCTATTACATACCTTGGCCAGGCCCGTGTGGGGAAACTCATCAAAAGACAGCATTTCCTCCTCGCCATGTCCATGCTTTAGGTACTGGCCCTTGTAGATGCGCCCGGCACTGATCGTGGACAAGCCCATACCATCGCCAATAAAGATAATAATGTTCTTGGCCTTGTGCTGATATGAGTTTTCCTTGGCGTGCTTTGCCTTTTCTATTGTTTTACCCAGCTGCTTAAGGCCCACTCGCCGCCAGAATAGTGCATCTGTAATTGAAAATGAATTAGGCACGATCAGAGCTTGAGCTACCTCACTAATTCGTGACATGTCTGAGTCGTCTGTCGCTTTTTAATTATTTCTGGTGGGACCCACTTGACACTCGCTCGTACTGCCGATCATATCTGGTAACAGCCGCTACGACTAATTAGATTTAGATTTATTTTGCCATATGGACAACGCAAATATCTGAAAGTCGCTCGTTGTATACACAAGGCCCATTAGAAACGTTTCAAAAGTTCAACAGTTCGGTTGCAGCTATGGAAGTCCCCCTCTAATATTTATGCGATCGAACTATTCTATTTCTAGATGGGGATTTTACCTTTCACGACTTTTCAAGTGCACAACTCGTTTTCTTTATATTTAGCAATTCGCATTTTCATCGCAGTACCTAGGTATTATTTGGTATATTATTATAAATTTTAATAATAATACTCTGTATAGATGCAGATGGGTTAAAGGGGTATAATAAAGTTGAGCACATTTTCAAACTAGACTTTCGATACCAAGAGCCTATATTTTTGTTCTTAATCGCAACAATAAGCTGGAAGATATCTATATATATATATCTTGAAGGCATACTTCTGTTATTGTACGACTTCTATATAATTTATTCTAATCTATGAATACAGAGGTAAGTTTTTTAAAATTATTTTATTTTTTAAATATCTTCAGATTTATTACTTTAATAATATAGCTATAAATACTGCTTTGTGTATATGAAGTACAAACATATTCGGATAATTTCATTAATAAACTCACTACATTCAACATTTTTTATAGGGTATCTATATGCGTCTGCCTGCAGCCCATCGTACAGTCTCACACTTCCTATAATTATTTTTCTATTTATATTTGCCGATTATAACTTTTCTGGTTTAGTATGCAGTCGGCGGTGTTTGCAAACACCAACCCCCTCACGCCCACGCCCATGTCTATGGCCAGAACCCCGTGGCGGGGCACTGACGCACGTTACAGTTAAACCGCGTTGACAGACTGTTAATTTGAATTGTCAATGAAATCGAAAATGGACAATTAGAGGCTTTTGCCGCGTATGATTGGGGGGGCATAATTAGCACTATTATTGTTGGAATTAGATATTGTCAGCATTGGCAGAGTTTAACACCTGTGAGTAACTGTTAGATGGGCTCTAACTAATTGCTGTTTGTACAATTCAATTGGGCAATGTTTGCCATTTGGTTAACACGAAATTGAATCTGTTTATATCTTAATTAAAAATTGTTGTAGACAATTGAAGCGCAGATTTTTCGACTATGTTGTAGAGCTATCAAATTCCATTATAATTGGAATATCTGGGTAGTTCCAAAGAAAGACAGAGAGACAGAGAGAGAGAAAGAGATTGGGAGAGAGAAAAAGAGAGAAATTTCCGTTAGTTCTCTTAAATTTCTTTTGTTATTCTTGATATTGTTTATATGTTTCTTGATGTATATTACCAACAATTAAAATACAATTACAAATCATATAATGATAATGCCCTTTTTATTGAAGTGCACAAATCTTTAAATATGATTCTTAAATGCCGTTGAGCTGAATTAAAGAGGTTTATTTTATTTTTGTTTAATGTGCTTAAAAACTGAAGCATGTATCCGCAGCCATTTCAGCTGTATCAACAATCATTCAATTTGAATTTTTTTTTTATATTTGTAGATAATCAAATAATGGGAGTTTTTAACTTGAAACCAAGTTTAAGGTTTGACCTTGAAATAATATGTCAGGCATATAATTTATGTATGTATATATGCATATTATATAAATACTATATAAATACTAGGTAACATGTCCCATGTCGAATGCTAAACTCATATTATTTAATAACCTTTTCAAAAATTTAACATATAACAGTAAAAGATCTAAAAGATCCATAATATCTCTAGGTGAACAAGCCCATATAACACGTCAAATTATTTGAATGGAAAATGGAAATATATGTTGCATATTAATATGTATATACATATGTATATATGTATATATATACATATGTATATATGTATATATATACATATGTATATATGTATATGTATGTATGTATGTATGTATATATATATGTATATATATACATATTAATATGCAACATATATTTCCATTTTCCAGTCAAATAATTTGACGTGTTATATGGGCTTGTTCACCTAGAGTTATTATGGATCTTTTAGATCTTTTACTGTTATATGTTAAATTTTTGAAAATGTTATTAAATAATATGAGTTTAGCATTCGACATGGGACATGTTACCTAGTATTTATATAGTATTTATATAATATGCATATATACATATTTATATTTGTTCAACTCTGTCACAAAGAGAAAAGGGTATATTGGTTTTGTGCAATGCACGTCCATTTGTCCGACGCTTTTGAATTTAGATACTTAAGACTTGGAATATACTTCGTTATTATTAACATCAATCAGATAATCTTTATTTTTTAGATTGTTAATGTGTCTGAGCACTACTGAGCATCTCATCTGAGATCTTGTAAGAATCTATCTTCCTATCTGTCTATCTATATATCTATCTATCTAACCATCTTCTGAGAATCTATAACTCTTTACAAATTTAATAGTAGAAACCAGTTTTATGTCTGATGCACACATAATTGAAATTTTTGATCACGTAATCAAATATCTACTTCCAAAGCTGAACTTAACACGAGGTATTTTTTTTGTGAAGTAATAGTTAGGGCATCATTTTAATTGCACTTATATATAGATAAATATTAAATGACATTAGACAAAAAAAAAAAAATATAATTTGTTGTTTAAATTGCTGCACTTTTTTTAAGATAATCAACAGCATTTTATATTTATATAAATATATAAATATAAAATATTATTTTAAATATATATATTTTTGCTTTAAATTGCTGCAAGTTTTAATATATACATTATATTTATATTTCTGCAAGTTAGATATATATTTTTTTTGTAAAGATAATCAACAAAAATAATACGAAAGAAAAACACGCTAAAGAAAAATATGTATATAATAAATATATTACTGGAGCAAATATAAATCAGATACGTCTTTTATATATATAATATATAACTTTTTTCTCAACCCATGTTTTTGCAATTGCACAATTGAATTCTCTTTTTAAGCCTAGCTATTTAAACCTAGCAATTCGAGCACTTGCAACTTAAGATATTAATAGATAAATTTAATATAATAAAAACTTTATAATATAAATCTATTATTTGTTTTACACTCTTGGCAATGCTTATTGTCATCTCTTTTTTGTTTCTGTAACTATTGCATAATTGAACTGGAGCCGCCCGAGTTAAACTAACACGTAGTAATAAAACGCTTGAACGCGCCATTCGTTCGGCTGCTTCCGTGCAAAATACAGTTCTCTAAATTGTGCAATGCTCGCAATGTTTTTTTATATAGTAGTCAAATGGGCAAACGCACCTTCCAAAACGCTCTCCTTGTCCGCCTCCAGCTTGAACTCTGGTCCAATGCCGCTGCCGCTGCCGCTGCCCGTGGTGCTCAGGGTTTGTATAACGGGCGGCGGCTGCACTGTGGCCGCCCAAGTGCCTGACGCACAGACAGCGGCGAGTATCAGGAGAACCGAATGCATCTTGTAGAATAATTGAGTCAAGCTTGGGCTATATATGTACGTATATGTACAATATGAATAATTTATATCACAGTTGCGTTTAGATTCTAGCTGGCCATTAAAAGTGTAGATCAGTTAAACGTAAAACGTAGTATTATTATTTTTAATTTGTAATTTTTTGAGCGCGGACTTTAAAACGAGCTCGCGACTAGGTCACAATTAGCAGATTTGCAGCGACTGACGTCTCGGCATGCCCTGAAGCGCCGTTATATGGCGGCACGATTGGCTACGATCATCAGCTGTGCACGAAGCGGGCCGCACGACGATGACGACGACGACGACGATGTCTAGAACCGGGGGCATTACGAGAATGTTTCTTTTTTTCAGAACTTTTTACTTTACATGCAAAATGTTTGCGTTCATTTCGAATTGCAGCACAGATAAACCCATTAAAAAACAACTGGTCGTTTGTTGATCTCCAGTGCAATAAAGTGTACGTATAGGCTTTTTATGACATTGACGATCGACTGTTTACGACCACGGGCTAACAGCATGTGTCTATACGTTGAATTACGGCTTAAATGGCACGTGAATTAGTTGTTGTAGGCGGCTGCCAGCAGACTGATGTCCGCTGCTTATCTGAGCCCAACGACAGCTCTCGCCAGATATCGTATCTCAGGCGTGTTGCAGATGAATTTCCAGAATTGATAAAAGATTTCCACGAGCATATGCGTATTGTTTGCATTATCCGAAAACATAGTACAAGAAAAAATGACTAGCAGCGGTATGACGATGATTAAATACCCTCTCTGGGTAAGCTATTATTCGAATTATTGTATTTAACCGATTGTTCCTATGGGTGCTATATAATATAGTAGTCCGAATTGATACGGCTCCGTAGATATGTGAGAAATGTGAAGATATCTTAAAATTCAGCTAAGCTTTACAAAAAAACATTACATAAATATAGATATAGATATAGATATAGATATAGATATAGATATAGATACAGATATAGATATAGATATAGATATAGATATAGATATAGATAAAGATAAAGATATAGATATAGATATAGATATAGATATAGATATAGATATAGATATAGATATAGATATAGATATAGATATAGATATAGATATAGATATAGATATAGATATAGATATAGATATAGATATAGATATAGATATAGATATAGATATAGATATAGATATAGATATAGATATAGATATAGATATAGATATAGATATAGATATAGATATAGATATAGATATAGATATAGATATAGATATAGATATAGATATAGATATAGATATAGATATAGATATAGATATAGATATATAGATATAGATATAGATATAGATATAGATATAGATATAGATATAGATATAGATATAGATATAGATATAGATATAGATATAGATATAGATATAGATATAGATATAGATATAGATATAGATATAGATATAGATATAGATATAGATATAGATATAGATATAGATATAGATATAGATATAGATATAGATATAGATATAGATATAGATATAGATATAGATATAGATATAGATATAGATATAGATATAGATATAGATATAGATATAGATATAGATATAGATATAGATATAGATATAGATATAGATATAGATATAGATATATAGATATAGATATAGATATAGATATAGATATAGATATAGATATAGATATAGATATAGATATATAGATATAGATATAGATATAGATATAGATATAGATATAGATATAGATATAGATATAGATATAGATATAGATATAGATATAGATATAGATATAGATATAGATATAGATATAGATATAGATATAGATATAGATATAGATATAGATATAGATATAGATATAGATATAGATATAGATATAGATATAGATATAGATATAGATATAGATATAGATATAGATATAGATATAGATATAGATATAGATATAGATATAGATATAGATATAGATATAGATATAGATATAGATATAGATATAGATATAGATATAGATATAGATATAGATATAGATATAGATATAGATATAGATATAGATATAGATATAGATATAGATATAGATATAGATATAGATATAGATATAGATATAGATATAGATATAGATATAGATATAGATATAGATATAGATATAGATATAGATATAGATATAGATATAGATATAGATATAGATATAGATATAGATATAGATATAGATATAGATATAGATATAGATATAGATATAGATATAGATATAGATATAGATATAGATATAGATATAGATATAGATATAGATATAGATATAGATATAGATATAGATATAGATATAGATATAGATATAGATAAAGATATAGATATAGATATAGATATAGATATAGATATAGATATAGATATAGATATAGATATAGATATAGATATAGATATAGATATAGATGTAGACTTGGCCAATATGTGAGACGTTCACAGGGCGGAATAGGTATATTAGACATCTTGAAAAATGTATGATATCTCCAAAAAATTAAAACTTCTTCATACAAGAACAACATTTTCGGCAATCGTTGCTATGGTAACTATATAATATAGTGGTCCGATGTTAAAAAAATTTTGCTCATAAGTAAAAGGCAGAGAGAGACTCATATTTGTCCGGTATGGACAAATATTCCATATCTTGAAAAAAAAGGTTTTATATTCAAAAGGATAATTCTGGACTGACCGTTCCGATTATATGATACTAAAATATGTGAGAGAGTAGTTAGCTTAGATACAGACGGATAGAAGGACAGATGGAAATTGTTATATCGACTTTTGACTTTTGGTGCTGCTCAAAAATATACATATACATCTATGCGTTACACGTTACTTGTGGAAGTTGTATGACCCTTCACAAGGGTATATAAAATTGGGCACTGCTTCGTTTGCCTTTGGTTTATTTGTGCTGTCTGGCCAGGTCCCGGCCTTATACAACCTCGATCAATGTCACATAGGCGCCAGCATTCAGCAGCTACATGACTTTGCCTTCAACCTGAACAATAGGTTGACTATCTTTAGCATCTGTGTAAAATTGGGTCTATTGTCAGGTTTGCAAGCTCGACACTTAACACTAATCAGGCGAGGAATCTAAGATTTGTCTCCAACCGAACAGTCACGAATTGTAACAATTGTGCAACTCTTTAGTGCAAAAATTTGAGTTCCAGACATCCACATAAATAAATCGCTCATTTGTCACACTCTGACGTTAGGGTTTTTGGGTTTTTGTTATGCTCAAACTAAAGAAATTCTTTCAGTCTTATCAAAATGTTCGGAGCTCAACATGCGTAAAACGTCATAAATATCAACTTGTTTCTTTTAAACAAACATTTTGATTTTTTTTAGTTTTTAGGGAGTTTTCTGAAAGATGTGTACACGTGCACAGGCAGTCCAAAGGTAAGACTTATCCCACATTTACTGCGATCTAATATTGTACTTAAGACATTGCTTAGTTCTTTGCGTGCTCTATGAGAGTTGTTGAATAATTTTGGGGTTAGGGGCTCTGCAGTTTACGCAATGGATTAATCTCTAGTTAAGCTGTAGCTAAAAATAATTATATGGTTAAACTAAATTATACTCAAGTATTTATCTTAGTTTAATTGTGTATATATACTTTGCTGATTATCTCATTCATTTATGCTAAGCAATATCTCAAATGAAAATCTTTGGGGTTCGCAGCGCCTGATAGCTTTGCTAACTTCGCTAACTTTTAAGCAGGGTATTTGTGCTTAAAATGAATAAAAATATTACTTGCAAGTTGCAGCCAAGATGAATGTCCAAATTCTTAGAATATAACTTGATAATATTGATCTTACTGCTCATATTATGAACAGCATAAAATATCATAATGAACAATATATCATAATATAAAAAACAAATGATGTAAGTGAGACTTTTCAAATATTTAATCTTAAAATAATTAATTATTGAGTTATTACATTATTAATTTGTTTTGTGAATTTTAATGTAATTGTAACCATTGAAATGTAAACCACATTTTTAGATTAATAACTGCAGACAAACAGTTTCAAATATTACACCCAATAGCATTAACAAGCCAAGAGTTATTATCTAATAAATATTAATATGAAATAGTAATGAAAATATTTGTAACTTCAATTCTTTTGTGTGATTTTCTAAAAACTGAGGAGAAATATTATATTTATTATTTTATAACTATAATAATTTATTATATAAAAACCAACTTTCTACGCCTTACACAAACATTTCTAATAATAATAAAAAAAGAACAAAACAAAAAGTAATGCACATTTAATATGTAGCATATTGTGATTAAAGCAGTGGATAGCACTATTTATTATATTCATTAATTTAAACAAATTGCTCTGAACTGGGTCAAGTTTGGCAGGGTGCACTGTAGTGTGCCCAAGCGTTTAGTTTTCTTTTCTTTATCTGTGTAACTGCGCTTTGATTGCGCACGTTTTTAACGGGCACTGTAAAAACCGTAAAGAGTATAAAGAACTGGTGGAAAAAGAATGCAAGCAAGTAGAATAGAAATAAAAAACTTCAATGCTAAATGACGTTAAGTAATGATTGTTTTGATGATTGTCGTTTGCTGTTGGTTAATTATTACAGTGCATTGTTTTATGATTTGATTTCTGTTGTTTTTGTTATTTTTATTTTGTTGATCTGCCACGCTTGACTTGAGCTGCTGCAACTAACTGTTAAGTTGACAGCTGTATTTGGCATTGGATTGCCCCCCAACATCCACCCACACAACTCCCAACAATGAACAGTTCAAACAGAAACCAGAAATTGGAGTCTAGTCGGATGTATCCGACTACGAGATACCCCGAACCCAGGCCGGTACAAATATACATATTAACTCACACGCACGCCAATTGCGGCTGTAATTCTTCTTCTCTTAGTCTGATACTATATTCATGTAATTCATTCTCAGTTTGCTTCGGTATTTGATATCTGATCTTTATGAAATTCGCAGAGCATAAATATGGCACCTATATGTGAGTATATACTAAGGCGCAAGGCTGTACATTTGATAGAAAAGATAGAAATTTTTTCAATTTTGGTTAAAGCCGAAGAAGGTTTTCAAAAAATGATATAATCTAAATTTCTATATGATATACAATTGTCTACATACCAAGTTTGGTAAATCTAAATTTTGTGCAAAAATCGATATTTATCGATATGAATATATACGAAACAGTATATTTATTTA